ATTTTTATATCTCATCAATTCATCTACCCAAGTTATAGTTTTAGGTGTATTTCCTTTTACAACTTGTTTTTCACAATGAGGATCATACACTTGGTTTATTGTAGTGTCAGTACATCCAAATAAGATAGAATTAATTTTAGAAGTTTCATAAACTTCATGAATAGAAGAATCATTCTTATTATATTCAAGAAGATGATTTAACAAGAAATGTTCACTACAATGAATTGGACATTTCTGGAACACTAATGGAATCTGAATTTCAAATGGTTCAGAAACGGGTGTTGGTTCTACATGGAACGGAATTGAAAATGAATCAATAAATGATGATGTATTTCTTTGAATAAGAATGAAACGAGAAGATGGTGATTCTGAAACAACCCTCATATCAAACTTTTGTTTTGTCATCTTTTTTAAATCACCTTTACTAAAATAAACAACTTTAGGTAAATTGTATAAATAATAAACAGAACAATGAAAACAAGATGCATTCATAAATAAAGGACTTACTACAAGACTATAATTTTTGAGTGTATTATTTTTTGGAGATTCAAGGTGTTGAATAAAAGCACCTTTTGGTAATTCTCTTTTAATTTGAGGAGTAGTAACAACTTGCCCATTTTCATTTGCTGGTCTATGACGAGTAAATTTACAAACATGTTCTTTTGTCATTACATCAGTACCACATGATGTTAAATATGTTAATAATCGAATATGATCTTCTTCAATTTTTGGATATTTTATAGTCATTGTTTCATTAAATATAACACTGACTTCTGAGTAATTGAAAACTTTATTAACAAAATCGAAGGAAACAATACTTTCTATTCGTTCACTAGTTTGAATATCATCTAATCCCCATTCTTTTCTAACACCATCTAATGAATCCATTAAATAATTGTACATTTCAATGTATTTACTTTTCCCTTCTTTCCTCTTTCTATATTCTTGAAGAATACTCTCAGTAAAATTATAGTTGTAGTATGATTGTTCTCCTGCCATTTCAACAAAATAATAATCTCCAGTGTCTTTTGTGGCATTTGTTTCAACACTGATTAATTTTGAATGTATTAAATCTATAACTGAGCTATCGTATTTACCTATTTCTTTAAACCTTCTTCCTGCAAAATCATTCATGATTTCGTTAAATTTTTCATGTGGATTAGAATAATTACCATTTAATGTGAAAATGTTCATTTCAGTTGGAGAAGAATATTCTTTTATTCTGAAAAAATTATAAGCAACAGCATGAGGACGTTTTGTTGCAATTTGAATTCGTTGTGTACCATCTTTTGGAATAAGATGTGTTGGTAAAGGAAATCCAGAATTAAAATGGGCAATAATTAATGAAGACTCACTTTTTACTGCACTTGTTTTAATATCATATGAAATATGCATTGTTGGAGAAGAAGGGAGAATAGTAAAGTCAGACTGATGTGATAAAACAACATTTAAGAAAATAAAGAAAAGCAACATGAAGAATAAACTCCCTTTTGAAATTTCTAGATTTCTAGGTTTTATTCATTAAAAAAGATTCAGTCATTTCATTACTTTAATTGATGTCTGGAAACCCTCAAATCAAATATGCTATCTTCGACCTTGATGGAACATTACTTGATACTGAAAGTATATACACTATAGCTACTCAAAAGTATCTTGACGCATATGCTAATGGTGTTAAATTTACTTATGACGTTAAGAAACAATTAATGGGGAGACACATAAATGTGTCCACTCAAATTTTACTTGACACTTATCATATAAATGATACCCTTGAACATGCAATTCAATATAAAGTCGAAACGCTTAATAGTTTATGGCCAACAGTAAAACCATTACCTGGTGCTATAAGGATTTTAAATTATTTTAAAAAACATCATATTCCAATTGCCCTTGCAACTTCAACAACAAAATCAGTTTTTGATATTAAAATGCAAGGAAAAAAAGAGATACTAGATTATTTTGATGTTATTGTTCTAGGTGATGACCCTCATGTAAAAGAAGCAAAACCAAATCCTCAAATTTTCCTTCATGCTGGTCATTTACTTGGATGTACTGATATGAAACAAGCAATTGTATTTGAAGATGCAGTACTTGGGGTTCAAGCAGGAATAGCTTCTGGTGCATACACTGTAGCAATTCCAGACCATGAACAGCCAGAAGATCCATATTTCCAAAATGCATACACAGTACTTAAATCACTTAATGAATTTGATCCAAAAATATTTGGACTTCCAAATGATTATTAAAGTATTTAATTAATGAGTTAATTAAAAATTTATTGTTCTTCTCCCCAAAATTCTTCATAAGTTTTTCCATTCCAATAATTTTCACATTTTATGTCTCTTTTATTTAAATTACGTTTTTCTAATGCTTTCATATCTTCATCAGAAAGAGACCATTCAAATACTTGATAATTTTGAAGTAAACGATTTGGATTTGTACTTTTTGGAATTGCAATAATTCCATTTTGTATTAACCAACGAATACAAATTTGTGCCGTAGTCTTATTATATTTTTTCGAAAGACTAACTACAACTTCATCATCTAAACAATTTTTATCACTTTCATTGGCAGGTTTTCCACCAATTGGACGATAGGCTTCAACTAATATATTGTAATTTTTACATACTTCTCGTAATTTTTTTTGTTGTAAATAAACATTTAACTCAACTTGGTTAATAACTGGTTTGATTCTACACATTTTCATAATTTTTTCAATTTGTGGAATAGTGAAATTAGAAAGACCAATTGATTTTACTAATCCTTCATCAACTAATTTTTCCATTTCTTGCCAAATTTCAGTGACGTCCATATCTAAGAAATCTTCTGGTTTTGGTGTATTAGAAGTACCAACCTTTAAAGCAATTGGCCAATGAATAAGATATAAATCAAGATATTGGCACTTTAAATCACGGATAGATTCTAAACAAGACTCTCTTATTCTTGTAACTTGGTCCATCCATAATTTAGAGGTAATGAATAACTCTTCTCGAGTGTGGTTCTTTAAAAATGGCTCAATTCCCATTTCTCCTATTTCTTTTTCGTTTTTATAAAAACGTGCACAATCAATCAATCTATATCCATTCTCTAAAGCCAGTGTAACAGCTTTCCCAACTTCTCCTGGTGCTGCGAGCCATGTCCCTAAACCAATGGCAGGCATAAATTTTCCATTATTTAAAAAGAATCCGTGTTGAAGCATGGTGTTATGAAAATAATAAGATAAGATTAATTAGAGTTCTTTAAATAAATTCATTTTTTTCTTTTTCGCCTTCAAGTTTTTTTAATTTTTTTTTTTTTTTTTTTTGTTAATATTTTCATACTTCAAAAAGAAGAATTAAATAATTGTTGTTTCATAATTTTTTATATTGTTAGAGTAAAATTAGATATTATTTTTGTATTAGAAAAAAATATTTTCTCATAACTAAAAATATAAATCTAAAAAGAGAAAAGAAAGATTATTTCTAATGAAGTGATAGTCCACAAGTTGAAGATTAAAACGTTTCAATTAGAAAATGTAACATTTAGATTTTTTATTTTCATTCTTTTTAGTAATACCAGTATCTTTTTCATTTCTATCTTTTAATGTATATCGGATGGCTTGTTCAAAAATTTGTTTCAAACCAACTCGTTTTAGTGCTGAACATTCCATATAACAATAAGCATTTAAATCATGTGCTAATTTATCTCCATCTTCTTTTGTGTAAGGTACTTCTCCATTATCTTGTAAACTTTTTACTTCTTTTGGATCATCTCTTAAATCTATTTTTGTTCCAATAACCATTAATTTAGCTGTTGGACAGTGTTGATGAACTTCACGGACCCACTAATTGTCAATCTTAGAAGAATGAGTACTAACTTGTAGCAAACCAAAACAAACTTTATCTCTTACATTAATGTATGATGCGTGATAAACTACTGAAAAACACAATAAAAAAATATCAGTTTGTGGATATGACAATGGCCTAAGAGAATTGTATTCTTCTTGCCCTGCAGTATCCCATAATCCAAGGTTAATTTTTTTATTATCAACAACTACATTTGCAACATAATTATCAAATACAGTTGGAATGTAGTCAGTTGGGAATTCGTCAGATGTATAACACATCAGCATACATGTTTTTCCAACATTACCATCACCAACAACTACGAGTTTAACATTCTCAGACATCTTCCTTTTCTTTTTTTAAGATTTTTAGTTTCTATTTTTATTTTTGTCTTTTTACTTTTAATTTATGTTATTTGTAACAGAAATAAATGAAAAACAAAAAACAGAAAATAAGAATGAAATAATTACAAGAACTGAAAATCATCAATTCATGTCTGTGATTGATTCATTATTAGACAATGTAGTTTCTTTGACTAAAAAAGTGAGATCACTTAAGACAAAGAGTGAAGAGTTAAAAAAGATAGTATCCTCTCCAAGTTATAAAAAAATGTTATTAAATGGATCACATAAAGAACTTTTCGAATTTATCTTTAATTTAATGAACGAGTGCCCTCCAAAAGAGATTTATATTATTGGTAGTTTAATTGATGTTATTGAATCTTCTGCTACATGTGGTTATATTCCACCTTTATTATACGATGTTGCAGTAGAATGTGTACTTTCTTCATTTAAGTATACTGCAAATACGACTCTAAATACTTCTATTATCAAATGTGTTAGTACTTTCATTATTTCTCAAACTCATCATATTCATTCAGAATTATTATTACGGGCATTTAGAGTTATTTTTGATGCTACATTATTATTAAATATTCATGAGTCAAGTATCAGTTCAGCTATTAATAATTTAACTCAATTGGTTGGTGTTATTGTTATGAAAATGGAAATGGCTAATTCTTTATAGATGAAGAAAAGGAAAATAAACGTTTAAGTATTTCATCCCCAGTAATAAATGATATTCTTCCATGTTTTTATGATTCAATTGAATTATTACATTACTTATACTCACTCACTACAACACATTGGACACAAAGAAGTACTGTTGATTCTACATTCAAAGCTTTTATTTCAACAATTACAAATGAAGCCAAAGAAACTCTTGATTTAAAATGTCAATTACATAGTCTTAGATTAATATCTACATGGTTAGATACATTTTCACCTACTTTACGTTCATGTAATTCATTCAAAAAAGTTATTGAAGATAACAAATCTTTTTATCAAGATATACAAGAATGTCTTATATTATCTTCGACAGATGAATTATTATTTGAAGAGTCTATTTTATTAGTTAAGTCAATAATGAAACACAGAGTTTTATTTAAAGGATTATTAAATGAAGTATTTCATGTTATTTATATACCATTACTAAGACATCCAATTATTTTTCCAACAATGAAATTAAAGATATTAGAGTTATTAAACTTTGTTTGTGAAAAAAATGTTTTTTGTGAAATATATATTAATTGTGATTGTGAGTTATATGGAGAAAATATTATAACTGAAATGATTTTTGTTTTATTATA